CTCTATTTGTATCCTTGTCAATGTTCTCCAAACATCAACAGTTTTTGAATAGAGCAATCCTCTAGCCTGATGATGCTAATTGCACTGCAACTACAGCAACATTGCCTTGATAGATAGACTTGGTTCTGTCAAGAACTTTTGGATTAGTAACCTTTTCCTGCTGCCATATATCACAAGATGGAATGCAGGACACATTTATGAAACCGCTCTAGCTGTGTTCAGCTGCTGCTGGTAGACAGTTTGTGCTTCACAAACATACAGAAGTATAACAACACTGTATATCAAGAGCTTTGTATCCATGATAGTATAGTAGCAATATCCACTGAAAAAGCTAGATCTGGGAGCCAGCTTTCATCTTTCAATTGATCTATTCTTTGACCTTTCATCTCCAAAAATATAACAATTCTGTGTCGCAATAAAAAAATCATTTCAGTATCTTGTGACATGAAAGTCACTGAACTTCTGTGTAGAATGAGACATTTGTGAACTGATTATTCATGTCAATAACTGGCTAAACTGACAGTGATGCAGAGCACAACCTCTGATATAGTTCAGTTTTTGTGACAAAACTCAACACATGATCTAATTTTAAAATCTTTGAACATAAGTTAATAAATTATACAGTGAAAATGCTTGAATGTTGAATCTGGATATAGGTTTTCTATTTTTGTACCTGACTTGGTAGCAACACCTTTATGTCTCAAAACCATATTGGCAGCACCATCTGTAGATAAACACACAAGTTTGCTGAAATCAAAGCCATACTCATGGAGAAGCTGTTCAACTTTCTCAAAAATATCCTGGTTGTTGTTGTATCTTGCATTGGGACCAGTTCAATTAGTTCTTCATAAATTTGAAATTCATTGTTACAAGCCCTGATGAAAATAGCAAGCTATTCTATTCCAGCTATGTCAATAGTCTCATCCAGAGCAATAGAAAAATGTTCAAAACTTGATGATAAAGTCTTCAACTGTTGACTCAAATCACCTGCCATTTCATCAATCTGTTCAACAACATTGTTCCTGCTTAATGAAATGTCTTGAAATAAGTGTGACTTCTCTGGACATACAATTTCAGCTGTTTTTACAAGACATCACATAATTCAAAGCTTGCAGTAACAGAACTAACATTGCCTTTCTGAATTTTTGTAAAGCAACTCTGTTACTGTGTTAACTTAACCTTGAATTCCTTCACTTTTGGAACACACATACCTCTTTCATATTTATCAGAAGATTGATGGTTTGTTTCATGTCTTTTCACATTATATTCTTTTGGCATTGCAATTCACTGGTTGCAAATCAAACAGTTTATCTTTCCATTAACAGTGGTACAAAAGTACTATAATTCCCACTTTTTTTGAAACACATGTCCTTCTTCAGATAATTTTCTCTTTTTACGAGATGGAGTAGGATTCAACATTTTTAAGGCAAAATATTACAAAATTACAAACGTTTTCACTTTACATTTGTTCTTATTTAGTTGTCAAGGATGGATACATGATTAAACAGAGGTTAAAAATAGTCACTGACATTTGAAAACAAAAATCCATTGAGATAGAATAAACAATCTAATCATGCTAATTGAAAAAAAAAATCTGTTTTTAATAATTTGCATTACCAACATAGACAAAATTCTCGATGTACCACAGCTATAGAAACCTTTGTGAGGGCTGCCAAGATGCATGTAAAGGGCCACCAGTTTGACACACCTAGTCTAGGGAAATGTCTTAAATCAACTTAAAAATTGTAAGAATTGTTTCTGTGGACTTTGGTTGCTATACAAGGATATCATCATAACTTGAAAAATTTGGCTCAAATCCCTCCAACAAAATAGTACAAACATTTTCGGCTTGGCGTGACATATGTCTTTAAAGTTTCTTGTGGTTCTATTTTGTTTTGTGTGCTTCTTTTTTTTTTTTTCTTTTTTTTTTTTTTTGAAATGGGAGGATGATAAATGATTTGAATTAGATTGATCAAAATTGGCTCAAAAGGAAACCAAATGTATCAAACAAAATTTTAACCTTAATTTAGCTAATACTTATTGATAATAAAAACTTTTTTTTTCATAATCGTTTAAAACCTAAATCAAGTTTTAAGCTTCAGATGCTACTCATTTATATTACATTTTCTCAGTTTTTCACTTTAGCATTATTTGAGCAAGAATACAATTTTGGTTCTGCTTTTATTTCTAATATAACAAAATAATCTTTGGAATTATGTGGTTTCATTTGGGGTATTTGTAAAATAGATAGAAACAATTTAGTATTCTCTTTTAATAAAAATTTATTTAAATTTAATAAAAAATAATTGTAAACACTATCCTAACTGAATTTTATTGCATAACTCTGACTACAAAATATTTTTCTCCTTTCTTCATGCTCTTTTAAAAATCATAACATCACATATAGGGTAAAATTAAATATTTTTGTAAACAATATTAATTATATTTGTAACAAGAATATTATTCAAATTCTATGCCTGCTACAATTTCTCTGTTATTCAATAACTTCCTGTTCTTGTAATAAATGCTTACAGACATAATTTACAATAATGTTCATGTGGTACAAGAGCCACTCAAAGTAGAGGTAATAGGCACAATTTATGGGCATTTATAGGGAAGATAATGGTTAACCCTAGACTTGAACAGGTTAAAATCATAGATTATTTAAAAGTGTCATGATTTAACTTACAATCACATAAACTATAGGATTTAAATATATTGTAAAAAATACTTTAGCAAGATCCTGAAATATATTAATCATTGTTATCTATAAACTTCCCATTGACCCTATGGCCCTATCCTACTCAAAAGTTAATTTTAAATAATTTTATTCACATGGAGTCTCTAATTTTCATTGTCATCATCCCAAATTTAAAAATTAAATTGATTTTACTGAATTTTTCGTTAATTATGTGACCTGAATTAGAATACATAAAAGATTTGTATTAAAGCAAAACAAATATTAAATCTCAAAGATTTCAATGTCTGATATTGAAGTGCTTTGTTTCAACTGGGCCTCCAAAAATAAACTGAAAGATTTGAGTCTGAATCAGCTGCTAATGATTTATTATTGGAATTCTACACACAATAAAATAATTTTTGTAATTTATATTGAGCATTGTGATTTGCTTCTTTAGTGTTGTTTGTTTGTTTGTTTGACAGCATAATATTTATGCATGCTTTCCACTTCACTTAACCTTCAGGCCTTTGGATTGTTTTATGAATGTGTTAAAGCATGAACAAGCTTTATAAAATTCTGTATTACTTACCTGTGTTTTATTTGATTTATTCTTATATAAATGATATTAGATTCTGTTTCAGTTCTACTCTTTTGTACATAATTGAAATCTTTAGATTATTATAAAATATTTGTAACATCTTTACCTTTTGTTGTTTTTATCACAGCCTTTCATTTGCTATGTCCCCTGGTCTTTTCTAAGAATCTGTTGCATTCAGAAATTTTTAACTTCCAACCCTTTATTTCATCCAAGAGAGTGGGGGTATATCATTTTCATTTCTCTTGTATTAAATTGAGAGATTTTTTTTTCTAAGTGCCTGGCTGTATATTCAAAACCATTGAAATACAGAAACAGCCACAGCTGTGCCAAATCAGGTTATTATTACACCTCTTGAAAAATCATGCAAAAATCTTTTTTTCAGAATTATCAAATTTAACAAATATCATAATCATTTTTAATAATGATTCTATATTATTCCAGCAACTTAATTTTTTTTGTTACTTCAGTTACTAATATCACTCATTATAACTACATACTATTTGATGTTACAGTAAAAAACATGAAATAAAAGTTGGCACTACAAAAATAAGTTTAAAACTTTTATAAATGTTATTGAAATAGTGTTCTTATTCTTTGGCTGTCATCTGTTAAGAATGATAAGTATTATTTATATCATTTTTACACTATAAACATAGATTTGCTGTGTCTAAATGACATTTAAATGTAAATTTCTCTACAAGCTTTAATTTTATTCTTTCATCAATTGAGGAACAAACTTGAAAAGGTTAATATCATCCCTAATTGGATTTTTAAGATGATAACTTTACAAGTTAAACTTCAAGCAATAGTATAAGTTGCATTTTTATTTTGTTTAATGTTATTTGACATTACTCTAATTTGTATTTGATCAGGTTAAGCAATATTTTATGGTTATGCCATTAAAATAATTAAAAGTATAATTAACATGAGTTGTAAAAATTGAAATTGTAATTATCAGGAAGCATAAAATATGTGCATTAAACATTTAAATGAACATCTGGATTTGAGACCTGATTTACAATATTAAAATGTGAGGAAGAAAGTTTTTTTTTGCACTGGGTTTGTGTAAAAAATAAAGTATTAAGTAAAATTATTCTGTATTCAAGTGAGAGATATGAAAAACTACATTTCTCATTAGCTAAAACAATAGCTGCCATTCTGAATGTACCTTGAATAAGGTTTAAGGGCAAAACAGAATCTGCCCTGTGATTGACCAAAAGTCAAAAAATTAAACAAATCCTGATTGGTCAGAATTCCTACATAGCATTGAATAAATGTATCTCATTTGAGTAGGCCAATATTGTTACAATTCTTTCAATCATACAGAAACTATTCCAGAATACTAGTCAAGAAATCATCGCTCATGGCTGGGCCCATGGGAAAGAAAATATGATGTCATGGGAGCCCAAAACTTTCTATGACCCCAGAAAAGACATCATTGAAGAAGCATTCAGCACAATATTTATATATAAAAGGAACATACCTTTTAAATATCACTTCTTTTTTTTTTTTAAAAATTGAATCTGAAACATAAACTGATAAATAATATATAACTACTATAATAACAGCTCTAGTGAATTCTCAGATTACAGCCATACCATGTTGAAACACTGGTTATTGCACAATTATCAAAGTTAAGCAACATTGAGCCTGGTCAGTACCTGTGTGACTGCTTGGGAATACCAAGTGCTGTAATTTTGAATGTGTGGGTGGCATAGCTTACAGCTATATCACATTGAAACCCCAGTTCTCATATGATCGCCAAAGTTAAGCAATGTTGATCTTGGTCATTACCTTGATGTGTGACCACTTTGGAATACCAGGTGCTGTAAGCTTGGATGTGCAGGTGGTGTAATGGATAAAAGCTTGGAATTAGAAATTGGAGAGCTGAGTTCCAATTCTAGTTAGATTTGTTATATCCACTTATACAAAAATGACCTTGAATCCACCGCTTCTCCCACAACTATGTGTTAATTACTAGGACTTGTATCAGTAAATCATTGTTATCTTCAAAAAATTCTTACAATCTAAAAAAATTTCTAGCTTTAAATAACCTGAAAAAGTTGATAAACTGTAAAGACAATCATTCAATCTAGTAAATTCTGACTGATTGATTTAACTATATTAACTATAACCTGTCAAATTTCCTAAATATCTTGATATAAAATATATAATCATATGGAATCAATTGTCCTCATCGCCATATTTATTACAATGTTTCGGCCGTTGTATGCTCCAGCCTTCTTCAGGTGGTTGGAATGTCAAACTGAATCCTTTATTTCACTCACTGGGGTAGACTGTTCTAGTTCCATGTGCCATGTTTTAATGGATGTCAGTTAGCAGTTATCTCCTGTTAATTTCCCTCTGAAAGTTCTCCACTGCTTTAGCTGGGTATTGAACTCACACTCTTTGGGTCCTGTCACTGGATCTAACTAACGCCTTTATCCACTGTGCCATGTGTCCTTGAGGACAATGAATTTCTGGGTATTATAAACCTAATGTTTCTGCAACCAAGTTGAAATAAATAATTTTTTTCTGTATTTTTCTCTATTTATTGTTATCCTCTTCATTCCACTCTGGTTTATTCTCTGTTGATTTTCTATTTAAATTATAAATTATTTAATTCTCTTATTTTAAATAAATGTAACTATTTGAAAAAAATGACAGTTAAATTCATTATTTCATTTTAATAGCTTTGTTTTTGTTTTAAAATATTTAATTAGATTATTTTTGTTTCATCTTATAAACTTTATTTTAACATTCTCCTTTCAATTAAAATGTAATTAAATTTGTTCAAATGGTTTATATATTTATATTGTTTATAACAAAGTACAGGTAAGTTTTAGTAACCATTTAAAAATCATTTTGAATTCATACAAATTATAAAATGTTTCCTTATTTTTGATAACTTATAGATAATATAAATCCATCAATCAATGATAAGTTCACTATTTGTTCTTTTGTATTTACTAAAGAAAACTATCTTTAGTCAAAGTGTTTACTTGAATATAATTTTACATGGTTATTAAGAGATACAGAGAATTATCAGAAAGTCTTAAGTTATTATAACTTAAAAGATATATGAAACATCTTTTCTTTGTTTAATTTGATCTTTATTTGATTTTCAGCTATTTTCTAAAATGCTTATAATCTAATTTGCTCTGTACATGTGTATATGTCTGTTAAATGGAGAATACAAAGAAATATCATGATACACGATAATTTTTTTTATTGTTTAAGACAATAATACAGTTTCATATTTTTTTTCATTTCTGCACAAAATATACAAGACCTACAAACTTAATATATGAAGATTCAAAATAAAACCCCATCAACTTTACATTATAAGGATTTTCTATTATAAAGTTTCTACAATTTTATCTGAAGCATTTTAAAAAATATGAAAATTTAATGATTTCTTATAGTTATTGAAAAAAATTAATGGAAATTCATTAATTCTAAAATAAGTAAAAATTGTTATTATATTAATGTTTTTATTTATTTATTTATTTTTGCTTGGACCTCACTCCATGATGTCTAGTTATGCCTGAAAGACTGGACTCACATTCGTTATTGAATGTACGCAAGTGCATTGAGCTACATAAATGAATCAGTATAGATAATTAAAACTAATGAACTGTTTTACTATTATTGTTCAATAAATTTAAATATTATAATCAAGTTTTCCTGTTTACCAAAGGCATTACCTTCTCTCTCTCTCTCTCCTTTTTTTTTTTTTTTTTTTTTTTTGCTATATTGTTGGTTTTTTTTTGGGTTTTTTTTTTTGCTATACTGCTATACTAGGGATTATCAATTCTCACAAAAATGTGACTATTTAAATTAGAAAAAAGATTGATTGCCAAATCATATCAGGTTTGGCAGCTGACATTTGTATTGTTAAGTTTAATCTCTGACTTTGATTGAGAAATCCTGCTTTTAATTTCAAAAGTAACTTTTGAGAGGACAGGTGACATGAGCAGTTTTTCTTTTAGAAGATTGTTTACATATATTACCATACTCAACAACATATTTTTAGTATGGTATCTGGCTTTTGATTTGGCAATCCTACTTCTCATTTTAATAGTACACATTTGAATAAAGTTGACACTCCTTCAACACATTTTTACTTATCTTTTCTATTCATGATATTGTTTATACATTTTTTTTCTTTACTTCAATAGGATCTCCTGTTATAATCAATGGAGAAGAATTTGAAAATATTGAAATTCCTTCAACCAGTGAAAATCTTCCTGAAGAGGAATTTCCTTCAAATATTGACACCCAGGATGCTGAGGACCGAACAGCCAAGTGGATTGGGCACACCACAGAAGAGGAGAAGCCCCAAAGTGCCGATCAAGCAAGTCTGATCAGTTCAGCTTCTGACAGTGTCAAGTCTTGTGATATTATAGTCACTGGAGCAGAACCTGAAAAACGTGCATCAGATAAGGACAGTGACATGCTGCATGATCTGGTGCGCAATAAGGATCTACTTAAAGCTCGCAAGAAAACTAAGGGGAATAGCATGGATTCTGAAGTATCTGAAGGCAGCACTCTGGTAAGCAGCAGTTCTGACAATCCACCAGAAGAGGACTGGCACAAGAAGCCCAAACCAAATCATCATTTGGTCCGCAATACAATGTCAGATAGTGAGATGGAGCTTTCTGGGGTAAGCATAAATTTTAAACCTTTACTTCACACTCTGCCAATTAAGTGTGTCATTTCAAGAAGTTAAAAAAAAAGTACATAGATAAATTACGTTGGTAGGTTGGAGGTTTGGTGGAGCATTTATCACATTTTTGCCTAGTTCAGGTGTATGTCAATCCAGACAACTTACAGGAATTTTGAACTGAACCCTTTATTTAAGCTATTTATTGCTGTTGTTCCTGGGTCCACCCTTTTTATAGTAAAAATATCAGCAATACATCTTGCATAAAAAAAATGACCAACAATACATTTTATCTGTAGTTGAAGGCATATAATTGCATTCAAAATATATTTAGTTGAAACTATAAAATATATATATATATATTTACATTTCAGCATTAAATATCTCACAGAGGTTGATATAAACAAACAAACAATATGAAAGCACACTTTTATGACATTGATCAATATAATATCCTACAATTTCTTAAAGAAATCAAACTGTATTCCAAAACATAACTTCAACAAAACTACATCATAAAACACACATATCAATGCCTTTAGTAATCATGTCTACATGAAAACATCTATACACAAAAGCTGAGTATTATATTCAATTGTGAAAGCAGAATAAAATATATCTTATTTTTATTACTTCAAGTCCCCCAAGAAAATTAAATTTCAGCATTAAATGACTCATAAGGAGTTGATATTCTGTTAAACAAACAAATCAAATCAAAAACAATGTGCATGCTGCCTGGCCCACAGATTGAATTCACAATAACTATTTCACCAAATTCATAAACTAGGCTCTTGTCTCATGTACTTAGACTTAATGGAAATGGAGAGAGCAGTAACTGAGCAGTACTAAAAATAAGAACTAGATATCTCTAGACATGAACTGTGGAATGATTACAATCAACTCCCATAGCTTAAATAAGGGGTTCAGTCCAAAATTCCTATAAGTTATCTGGATTGACAAACACCTGAACTAGGCCAAAACGTTGTGATAACAACAACAAAGATGAAGACATCAATCCGCATTAGAATAATGTATATAACTTAGATTTTCTATAAAATACATTTTGAGAAACTATTAATGTATTTGAGAGCAGAGAAGACTTTCCCTTCCTCAAATAAATATCCAAAATATATCTCTCAGGCCTTTGCTTCAAAGTTCAAGAGTCTGGTAGGATAATTTTTACCCCAACAATTTAGACTACCAGTACTACCTAACGTAATTTTATAACACTATGGTATTAAATGTAAATAGCAGTGTGACTGGTCAGGTCTGATATGCTATCAAATACAGTATATGTATTTTCCCTGTGTTTATCTTAAACAGTTTTAAAGTTATCAGTGAAAAATAAAATTGTTTTTTTATTCAGCTTTGAGTATTTTGCATATAAAGACATTTTGAACTACTTTCTTGAAGTATTTTCCAGTAAAGTTTTTTATTGATTCATCAATTATTGATGTGACAGCTTGGGCTTATTTGACATTCTGTGTATTAATAAATACTTTTCATCAAATCCTTATTTGAAAGGCAAACTGTAATAATTAACTAGTTTTAATGCTACTTAGTCTTTATTTCATCAGAATTTGTGTGTGATTCTCTGCATTGGATTATATTTTAGCAATTACTTGTATTTCTGCTATTGTAATGATGAGGTTAGCTGTTTCCATATAGGAAACATTTGCTATTCATTGACCAAACTGTTAGCAGTACTGTCAATTGAAATTTATAAAGTCTTTCTCTTAAAGCAGTTCTTCAGGAAAATACGTTTCTCAAGTCCACTATTATCACTCTTTCTAGTACTGATGGGAGTTTCCTTCCTAAACTTTTGTTTGAGGTAGTGTGGAAGGTCAACATTTTGGTTATATCATTATTTTCCCTTTTAGATACATGTGCTATCAATTTCAATTTTTGCTGCTGTTGGAAGTCTTCATATGATTTTTGTTATTTGGTAGAGTTTTAGAATGTGATTTTATAGTGACAGTCTATAAAATCTGATGAATTGTTTTCTTTAAGATGTAGAGGATTAATTTGCTTGGAGCCATTTTTAATCATTGATCTGAGAAAATGGTTGTATATGGCTGATACCTTAGATATTTCTGAATGAGTTAAATACCATACATGGCATCCATACAAGGGTATAGAGCTGATAAGACTATTTAAGAACCTGTCTCCTTAGGTTAATATTTTGATCTTGTAATATCTTGCAACATGGAACAAAACTGCTCCTAGTATATTCAATTTCCTTATCTCCCATATTAAATTGGTTATAACTGATCCATACACTATGAATTATTTAGTTTATTAATTCCACATTCTGATTTTTTTTTATCATGGATTCAGAGTATGTGCCATCTGTGCTCTCTAAATCTACACACACACAACAATGTTGGAAGCAGTTACAATACCAACTTTCATTTTCCTTCAGCTTGACTTTAGTGTCAAGATCATAGTGAGGGTAGTCCAAGGGTTATTGGTACAGAAAGTAGAATCAACAAGTCAATTTGAATTCTGGCCTAATCTTCTGCACTTATTTTCACTCAAATTCAGCTATGGGTTAAATAGTAAAGTCAACTGTGCTCTCTAGCATTATATGCCATCAATCTTCTAGAAGAAAGACAATTATAAATGTAAAACTGAGAAGAAGGCAACAGAAATCCACTTCATTACCTTTCCCAAAAAATTACAGTAGTTCATATAAAATAATGGAAAGGAATCTGGAAAGCTATAATCAACTATGTCTTGGATTGATATGGTATTATAAAAAATATTATCAGTGATTTTGAGATTCTAACATTTTCATTATCACACATATTTTTAACTTGTTTTCTTCCTTTATTTTGTTGTCTTCCATAATATCAACAATATAGCATTGAATAGAGGTAGTGACATAAAGATGAAAACTCTGCCTGACTATGCATGATAACTTTGGTAACACAGTGATAGTCTAAGGCAGTGTTTCTCAACCGGTGTGCCCACAAAGTTAACAGAAGAGTAATTTATGAATTATTTTTATATTTAAAAAAATATATTTTTCTTAAAATGCTAGAGGCACCAAGCACATAGCTTCCTTGTCTAAGTTAAGTCTTTGCCATTTGGTATTTTAAACAGGATGCTAAATTCCTTAATCATTAAGGAGTGGATACTCCTTTCCCTTTTGCCTTCCCCAAGAGATTTAAATCAGTCATTATCAGCCTCTCTAATAGTCTTACTAATTAACCCATAGATGTGGGGAGAAGAGGTGGATTGATACCTTTCCCAAGAGTATTTGCAGGTAAGTAAATATATACAAACCCAATGGGAATTGGAACTCTGCTCTCCAATTAACAATTCCATGCCATTGTCCATTACACTACCTGCACATCTAAGCTTATATATTCCCAAGCGGTCACTAATTTAGGTACTGATCGGGCTTGACTTTGCTAAACTTAAGTGACTGTATAGGAATCAGTGTTTCAACATGATGTAGCCATAAGCCCTTCGTATGTATGAGGATGTAGTAAAATGTATCCATCATACCCTCTAGGCCAGTAGTTCTCAGAGACCCAGCTCACAGTTGTCTGCTTTTGTTGATTTTAATCTTGACTATTCCCAGTCAAAACATTTCCCGCTTCCCTGTTATAGGCAGAAGTCCACAAATGCATGCTGGGATATTTTTCTTAGCCAGTAAAAATAGGCCAGTTTGACATGACTCACTCTAGATCTGCCAAGTCAGATGGTTTTCAGAGAAGAACCCAAACAAGGCTATGCCAAAGGGCAGAGTCACGTCTGGGGAGATAGACAAACCCGATCCCATGTATGTGGGGTCTATGGGGAATTTTAGCCTAAGCCCACAGGCTCCACATAAAAAATAGACTTGTGCCACATCCTGCCTTGTGGAGAGGCTAAGATAAATAACCTCAGTCCAGATCTGCTTTTCTAGAATTTTTGAGAATACAAGATGCTGTAAGCTTGGATGTGCCAGTGATGTCATGGATAATGGCTCAGAATTGTTAATTGGTGAGCTGAGTTCCAATTCCTGTTAGGTTCATTATATTCACTATGCACAAATACCTTTGATAGAGGTATGAATCACAGCTATGAGTTAATTAGTAAAACTTGTATCACTAAAACTTATTATTGCCAAAAGTAAAATAAAATTGTATACAAAATATTTAGATTTTGGCATTAAATAACCCATAAAGGTTGATATGTCACAAAACAAAAGCAACCAACCAATCAAGCTATGTTCTTAATACCATACTCAATCTGAAATCTCCTCATTTTTCATAGTGATTTTTGCTTTGGAAAAAGCCATAAGGCACTGGGAGCCAAAACTGATGAATATAAGTGGGGCAATGTCTTACTAAAAAGAAAAAACTTGAACAAAACATAAACAATAAGGTGCTGAGATATTCAACATTTTCTGAACAGTAAATTCACAAATCAAGAACAAAATAACCAGAGCTTATCTTTTCATTTGCTTGTTATTAATTCAAGCTAAAATATTTTATCTTCCCTATCAATTGTCCTTTGACTTTCATTTTTGGTTTTTTCTTTCTTGTTGCAGATGGTGAATTATCACAGAAGGAGTCGATCTTCAAGTATCTGGAGCAATAAGAGTAACTTGAGTGCAGGATTTCGATACCATGATGGTAAAATGATTAATACCTCCCCATTACCCAGCCCAGAGACAGGAAAAACATACCTTTTTGAAGGAGTCATTGGTAAGTTATTTTATAACAAGCCTTATGTATTTTTCCTATAGAAATGAAGTTATCATTATTCTGCTAAAAAGAGGCTCCAGAGACAGAAATTGGAATTGCCACATTCTAATTTTCTGACCAAAGAGATGTCTCAAAAAAGGATGCTACATTGTTTGCCAATTGCAGATGATCATTAGAAAAACTGAAGGATCAAACCACAACAAATCTTAATATCTTTTCCCTCTTAGATAAAAAAGATTAACAAAATATATTTTTTAACCAATTGTAACTAAAAGTAATTCTCAATTTAGGCCCAGTTTTGAGCCTATTATTTTCTATAAATTCTAATGACTAATCTTAGTTATCCAGGTTTCAATAAGGAATTTTTTGACAACTCCCTAATTACTCATTTTCAACATTGTTCAACTCTTGAGTCATATCTATATAATTCCTATAAATTTTGATTCCTTTTATGAGCATTCTTTAAATTAACAACAGAACTTCTATGATCACCAGATGTTTTTACCTATACCTGTGTTACAGCTACAACTGTTGATACATACACATATACACTTTCAATGTAAACAATCTCACTTATCAAAAAAGTCACATACACAAAAAAAGGGAAATCCAAATAAAAAAAAATCTATTTGATATTTGGATCATCAAAGAACTGATGATACTTCATGCTTTATTTCAATACTTTGTAATCATACCATACTGTTCATCAATATTTGAAAATATAAATAAATCTGCTAAATTTGTAGAAGTGCTTCATTTTCATTTTTCAGCAATTTTATCTTCTACGCTTTCATATTTCCTACTCTCTGTGCCCAGTTGAATTCCACTTGCAATTCTGTTTGTAAAATGAAGATTTTCTTTATAAAAATTTATCTTTCTTAGTAATATGAATGTTGTCATGTTCATACAATAATTTAAGTCAAAAGTGGTAAGTAACCTTGCAGATTTAACACTAGTGGTGCATTCTCAACTAATCTATTATGTATAACTTATGTTTGCTATTAATGTATATGACACTGTTCTTGTGTGATAAACAAGTTCAAACTTATACACATCATACTTATTATAAAACCCAGGTTGTGTGTGTGTGTCTGTTCGTTTATATATTGGATCAGATTTCCTACATTTTTCAACCAATTTCAACAAAACTTCACAGGACTACGTAAAATTACCTTGCAGTGGTTCTGACAGCACCAAAAATTGAAAAAACACAATTGTTGCATGAAATCAATTTGAAAACACGATTAAGAGGCATCGCTGTGAGAATGAAAGGGGGACAACTCATATCGAGTTTTACTTATTATAAAACCCAGGTTGTGTGTGTGTGTGTTCATTTATATATGGGATCGGATTTCCTACATTTTTCAACCGATTTCAACAAAACTTCACTTTTTTTTGGCAGTTAGTGTTTCTTATTGTCTTGCACACTTTTTTCTTCATTTTTACATTCAAAATGCTTTAAAAATTCCATTTTATTCAATCGGTAGACTCATAACAATTGAAAACAATGTTTTTGTTTGAGTTTGGGTTTGACCAATTTATAAAAATAAACAAAAAAAAAAAAAAATAATTAAGACAATAATCTTTGTCAATTTTATTTTTCAGTCTTTATGATGGTCGATACTTGATCTATCTCTTACTGTTACATCCCCGGGCTCTACTGCTAGTCATGAATAAAACTTTTATTGGGCTATTTGGCAATAATAATAAAAAATAATGTAAATATTTTCAATTAATAATTTTTGAAAAAACATTAAATGTAACTTATTTTGTGAAAAGTAGTTTTTGATCATTGGTGTCAGTTTATATTCCTTTTAACTTAAAACTGTTAAAATACCATATATTTTTCATTATATTCAATTATAATAAATTATAAAATATTTGTAAATTGTCACAGTGAGATTTATTTTGCTGGTTTGGCACAAAAACATTTCTAGAGCAACCAATGAAGATGTAATTTTGCCTTCATGACATGAAGATAACTACCATGCTTTTCACTACTCTAGTAAGTGATATTCCATTCAAGAAATCAGTGAGCCAAGTTTGAATTCCAGTTAAATTCATTATCTTCACTTAGATGCAGATATCCTTGGGAAAAGGTCTGAACTATCTCCCTCAAGGTATAGATTAAATAGTAGGATTTTTATATGGAAAAATTATTTTCAGTTTTACAAGAAAAAAGTATCAGTTGCTAAACATTTATACTTTTCTTTTTCCTGTAATTATATTTCACTCTAATTTTTTTTTTACAGGCAAAGATAGAAGTCGCTTATGGGACTATATGCAGTTTTGGGAAGACATGTTTTTAGATGCAGTTGCCCAAGAAAGAGACATCATTGGAATGGACCAAGGGCCAGGTGAAATGATGGAAAGGTGAATGAATGAATTCTGGGCATATTTATAAGTTTTGCTTTTATTGCATCGAATAATGTGAAACAAAAAAAGGGTTAAGAGTTGACACTCCACCTGCAATTTTTGTTTGAATTGGTAAAAGGATTTTTCTCAACAAACTGTAATTAATCTTATATAATTAATAATTCATATTATAAAAATGTATTTATGTATTTTTACAAGATTTTATACTTTTTAATTAGTTGTATATATTGATAAAACAGATTTGAAATTCATTTGCATCCAGAGCAATTTCTTTCATATTTCGAATCATTCATTCACAGACACATGCACACATACATAGAGAAAAAAAGAAACAGGGACAAACAATGTGGACATAAAAACCAATATTATGTGGTAACTGTTAGTTTCATGCTTCAACTGATCTTCAGATGTGAAACTGACAGTTGCCATGTAGTGTTCCTTCCTATGTCTACACTCTGTTTCTATTACTGAGCATTTTTCTCCTATAAATGTACCAAATTTTAAACTATGAATATGTGTCTGTGTTGTGTGGCAAAATTTGTATATCCAGCTTTGTTCTGTAAAAACACACAAAGGTCATGAAAATGACATTAAACCATTGCATCCAATAAATCCTGTTAAGGTGACCTCCTCTGCTTGTCACATATGTTTCAAGTCATGAAAATCCTTTACTGGGATAAAGAGCCTTCTTAGCACCTTATTAAGTCAACAAATCTTAACTTTCAGTCTACACTGTCATAAATCTAAGTCTTAATAATTCAATGAAATATCTACTACATGTATCTCTTTGATTTTTTTATTAACCTGATTAAATAAATCTCACTTACTGATGGATATATACACACATGATCAAGAAGTGATAAGTATAATTGGGTTGGTGGAAGATAAGCAATAAACAGCTAATTTTTAATTGAAGCACCTTTTTCATTAGCTGTAGGGTGTACCATGTTTAGATACTGGATTAGAATTTGTCATTCTTCTCTGTATATGTTTCCATAAATCAAATTCTTTTTAAAGCAAATTATTTAGTTTACTATGAGCAAACATAGGACTTGTATGACTCCATGCTTGATGAGGAAAATGAAAGAACATACTCTTCACGGCTGAGAGTAATATAAACCACATTACATAAGTAATAAGCTTAGTTGAGCTGGGGCAGCATAAACAAACAAGAATAATTTCCCTAGTTTTAATGAGTACAAACTGAGAATTTGAATTCAGAAAATCATACCTTTTTTTTGTGAATTAAACCTCTTTTGTAAAGGTTAGATCAACATGTAATCTATCTTTATGATCAGTAAGAAATTTGATAATCCTTATAGAAATGCTTTTGGATACCATTTTTACATTCAAAGATAAAAAACAAACAATACCACAAGTTTTTTTTTTTTTTTCTAAATTACTGAATTTTCATTTTATTTTTGCAGATACAATTCTCTTGGAGATCCAGAGAAGAAACGTTTGGAGCATGATGAAGACAAGCTGCTTTCTGTGATGTTATACAATCATGTTGCATTCATGGTTATGATGGATGTAAAGAAGATTGAAATCAAGAAAAAGATTCGTCGTTTGCTTGGCAAATCTCATATTGGCCTTCATTACAGCCAAGACGTTAATAATCTGCTGGATGAAATCAGCAAACTTGTGAGTTCTGATCCATTTAACTTATTTGATCACATAGACATATATAACTTTATAATTGAGGATTTTAAGTCCATGAATAATAAGCATTAAAATGCATTTTGAAACAGCATTTAAATGAACACACACAATTGTATTTGTGAGGCTCAAATTCACTATCCATCCATATGTAGGTATCCATCAGTCTCTGGAAGGGTGGGCAGATAATCCTTGTTGCAGACACTTGCTGAGGTACATTTGTGCTTCTTCAATACCCACAGAGCCAATCTAGCTTATATTGAAACTATTCTGAGTGGACTTTAGTTACAGTTTCTGGGAGAGAAATAATCCAATAATCTTATATGATCAGTGGTTGAACAAGGCCACTATAATTACAGTTTCTGAGAGAGGGTGCATAATATGGCATGATCAATAGTTGAACAAGATCAGAACTACTCAAACCCTCACTCAGATTGACTTGTGATTTCCTGCTAGCACAACCATCGACAGCTTCCAAACAGTTTTGTCTACAATCTACCCATAACCTTTTTGATTAATATAAGTAATATGTATTTTTTTTTTTTTTTTGCTCATTTTGATCAGTATAAATAATATATGTGAGTAATTTTTTATACTATACTCCCATTGACCCATAATGATAATATTAGCCATTTCCTTATAAAGAAATATTTGGAAATATATTCACTGACTGAGCAGCTTGTATTATTTTCAATTGAGATTTATAAGATATTAGCTGTTATCACTCTTTCCAGTACTGATAGGGGTTTCCTTCCTAACCTTTTATTTGAAGTAGTGTAGAATGTCAACTTCTTAATATAACCTTTTTGATTAATATAGAAATGCTGTTACCAACATTCAGATACAACCAAGTTGCTACTTCTATTGACTCATTGTAACTTAAAATATTGCTTCCAACTGTATTTACCAAAGAAGTAAAGACTTACATAAACTTTTCCAACTTTTCTAGATAGCTTTATTCATCTCCGTACTTTATTATGTTCTGAAAAGCAATGTGAGCTTTGTGTAATAGTAGCATTTCATTATCAATTGTATATCAAGAAATAATTTCTTATTTTTGTTAATGTTTAAGTATTGCAATATTTTGTAAATACTCTGTTTATTCCTATTCTAAGAAATAAATCATTTAAAAAAAATATTTGTTAAAGAATATTTGGCAATGTTTAACCTTCATGCCCAGTTTTTCCTTTGTTGTAAATTCTTAAGAAAAAAAATATATAAATTCACTTTCGTATGTTAGGTTTTATTACAATTCTAATCATTGCTTTTATAAAACAATAAACATTGCCAAGAAATAAAGGCAATTAAAATAATAGTGGTATCAAGGGAAAAACTATCCTTTTGACACTGGTTTTGTGGGCACAAAGGTTAAACATTACTGAATATTCTATAATAAAACCTTTTTAAATTCAATGAAATAAGCTTCAAACTAAAAACACAGCAGATTCTTATAAACAAAATGAATATTCCTTATTAAATATCTCGGAAATTATGATTTGTATATCAAGAGCAAAAGGATATTAATAACAGGGCTTGTACTGATCTCTACCTTTAACAACTTACAAACATATCTTTAATCTAATATAATCAACTAGTATCAAATGATACAAAGAATTTCAGCTCTGCCATATAAATCATCAGAACACTTTTTATTTGGATCCCATGGTCAACAAAATTGCAATATTTAATGATACTGTGCTACTTTGTATACATTGATCTATCATGCCACAAAGAAAAACAGTTTTCAACAATATGAAATAAATTCAATCATAATGATTAATAGTTGTATTTACTTAAGTACAGTAATGAAATCATTTAGTAAAATCATTCTTTGTTCCTAAGTTTTTATAATGAACTACAAATCAGGAACAGCTAATTTTGAATAAAAATATTGTTCTTTTTTAAAAATTCAATTAACATATAATAAAACTGTTTTATATGCTTACTTTGTTTTTTGCTATTGTTTTTGTTTTCTGCCACCTCTTAAAAGATAATACAAACCTAATATTAAAAATATACTTATATAAAATGACATTAAAGTCAACAAGTGACCGTAATGTCATTTTCTACAAGTATATTTAGAATATATATTTAGTATATATTTAGAACCAGAAAGAGACAGTTGAAATTTCTAGGACACACAACGAGGAAAGAGGACTTGGAGAATTTGATACTCATGGCACATGGCGCAAGAGGATCAGAAGGCAAGAGGATTGAGTAACCTACATAATGATCATGATTATGAATCCTGTAACCCATTAAGTTTATAGGGGCACCTCATGTACTGCAGTAGCAGTGGTGTGTCTTGGGCAATATAGCTTGACAGAGCCAAGCCCTCTTCAGACTGGTTTCAATTCAGAGTGATCCTTCTCCAAACAAGGCTATAGTACTCTGTCTGTCCTGCTATTTACCCATAGCTGGAGGGTATTTGCACATAAGTGAATGTAATGAACTCCACTGTGTCTACCTAACAAGTTTGTGTAGAATAAGCACTGGGAGTAATAGTAAAAGGACAAATATTGCTTAGATCTACAAAGGATACAGGAATTTGTGGAGAGCCATAATCACCTACATCCTGAAGGAATACTGCACATAAAGGAAGAAGTATTTATTTCTCATAAACATTTTACTCATTCTGAAACCAATTTTTTAAAAACATCTTTATTTTTCTATTTCAGAATGGTAATGATATTGATCTCAAACCCATGGGAAGTCGTTTAATGCAAAAACAGTCATTTACAGTTCATTGGGGAAGTGACAACACTGGAGACATGTTATTCATGGAGGTAAGTAACCAATATACATTTTTCCATTTTACTTCATTTTATGTAAATATTTACTCAGTTTGGCACAGAGCCATAACAGTGGAGTATTCCAAAAGGATTAAATTTACATATTAATGTATACCGTGATCATTCAACAAGTGTACTTTTTTTAATACTAAAGTTCACCAAATGAGAGCCTCTGAAGGCAGGGGTTACTGTTAAAATTGTTATGATGAATGTGATATGAATGATAGAGAAGGTGGTGGTAGGAAGTGACATTTATAAGGATAAGGAGGATATATGACAATTGACCTAGAGAGATTGTAGTGTTCAAGGAAGAAGTAGCAGTTCTTGGGGGAAAAGCTGAGTAGAATTTTCTCTTTACATTTGGAATATGGAAGAAATGGGGTTGATTCAACTCCATGGAAGTAGCATGGTATGAAATACTGGGACTAAGGAATGGAGTGCTCATTTGCCATGGAAATAGTAGAGTGCTATGAAGAGTCTGTGATTATATCATGGAGTTTGGGAGAAAAACAACAAAATTGACCAATTTTAAAAATAAATATTTTGAAATCAATTATTTTTAGAAATGGCACAATGATTAAAATTCTCATTATCAAACATTTAAGCACAGTTTTAATCTTTATTTACAAATAACAACAGTTCTCTTTAACAAAATTGATGATATACAATCTTCCTGTTGCGTTCTGTTACCAAGATTTAAGAGTTGAAAGTTACTGTTCTCTATAATTGTTTAAATCTAATGTTTTTAGCTAAAAATTATATATAATTTTCATTTTCTTTAAGACAGCAGTATTGTGCATGTGTGTGTGACTTTTAATATGGCAGACACATGTCTTCTGATATAAATGAATGCAGGAATAATTTCAGAATTGTCCCAAAATGGGGTGATTCATAAATATCAGAAAGCTAAATTTAGTAGACTTACAAATTGTGCTTGCATAAAACTTGTCACATTTTCTCATTAAAATTAGATGAGTTCTCTGCCTAATCCAAGACATTTTGTTCCAAGATTCACAAAACTCTATTTACTTTCAATATAACAACTATTTATTAGTGAATATATTAGGCATGTGACACAAGAAAATAAAATAAGATAATTTTATTTTAAGTGGTTAGCAGAGTAGAATATTTGTTTCTGCATAATTATTCATTTATAATCTATAGATAGGCAGACCCAGTTTCTGTCTTTGCTTAAACAAATATCTTTATTTTTACCATATAAATATAATTTCATTATGACCATGTGCAAAAAGCTTAACCTAAAATGTGTGAGCTTACAGAAATTCAATAGATATGGCACCATTTCATTTATCAGGCTTAGCTGATCGAAATTTAAAGGACATCTTGCAAGACAGTCAGGCCAGCAGCTGGATAGTAAATATGATTTCAGTAGTTTGGTTGTCAATTTACAAGTACAACTTTGACTTTTTATACACATTAATATAAACTAGAAAGCCCAGTCTTCCCTGACTGGGGTAGAAGAAATGAATTCATACCTTTCCCAAAAGAATTTGTGTGAAAGTGGATGCAACTGGAATTTGAACTCGGCATAACATTCACATTTACTGAGCTGATGACCACTACGCTATGCACACACACACACACACACATATATATATATATATATATATATAGAGAGAGAGAGAGAGAGGAACTATGGAATTATTATATGATGAATCCTAGGTCTGGGTTAGTGAAGCAATTTAACACCAATTCAGAACTCAGTGAAAAAAGCAAATTTATCATTTTAAAACTAAGACATATTTACTGATTGTGCTAAAAGATATTGACAAACCTTCTTGGTAATATATGATTGTTTCATCAGTAAACCAAAGAACCCATGAAGGAATAAGATTAAAATGACATGTAAAGAATAGAAACAATCATAGTGCTAAATATATTCCATTGGTAATGCAAATGAAAGAACTAATAATTCTTCTAAGCATCTTTTTGTTTCTTTTACTGGAATGTCTAAATTTATTTCATGAAATAACATTTTCAGTTGAATCTGTTTGTAAATGTTGTTGTTGCTCTTTCAGGTGTGTGATGATTGCATAATTTTACGAAGTGTCACTGGAGCCATATGTGATCGATGGTGGTATGAAAAACTGGTGAACATGACGTATTGCCCTAAAACTAAAGTTCTGTGTCTCTGGCGTAAATGTGGAGAGCGGGTTCAACTAAACCAGTTCTATACAAAAAAAGTAAATATGTTCTCAATGAATTTGTTTTAATAAATTTATGTTTGGACTATATATGTTAGTTTCAATTTAAAACAAGTGAATAATTTTCAACTTTTATGTTGATGTTTTTGTTTAATCTAAATAATTATAATTCCATCTTCTTCCAGTAATTTTTTTTAATTGTCTTTCACTATCATGTAGACTATAGGCCAAAAGTTTGTAGCCACATGCTGGATTTAATCATTAGAAAGTGTTATACCTTGTTTGGTTTAATTCATACTTAGCTAGGATGATGAAACTATTTAACCTATTAGTACATGACATCCAATTTTTTAAAGAGAGGATTATCTAAAATTTAAAATCCCCCAACCTTAAGATTATCATTAGCTAGCAAGGTAGATTAAACAAAAAGAGCTAAAATTATAAGAAAACTTTATGAAATAATGGATTAATTTTGTTATTATTGTTGTTGTTGAATATATAAAAGCCTTCAGGGAGAGAAAGTCCCTCAGGCCTGAAGTGAGCTGGTAAATTAGTTTTGAAAAAATCATGCAACCTTCAATTTTTAGGCAATTCTTTGAAATCTAGAGGGTAATCCCAAAATTTTGGCTTATAGTGTAATAATGCTATAAAAATATATGTCAAAATAAGTAAAGGAAAATAAGATGGAAAACTGCATTGTGATACATTTTGTCTAGAAAGAAAGTTTTATTGATGAAATCAATCCTATATACAAAAGAAGAAAATACAATAAACACTGACTTTGTTTGTATTTGGAATGTTAGTTACAATGATGTTTGACATTTAAATTTTAACAATAAGAATAAGTTATGAGAAGCTGAATGAGATTGGCTAAGTTTAAAATTTAGAATGACAAAATTTAAATGTTAAAGATGTTTATCTTTAACACTCTTGTATATCTAAGAGGGAAGTCGGGTATGGGTACACCGGAAGAGTCGAGTGTCGAGGTGGATGAAAATTTCCGAGCAAAGCATTCAGCCTTGTCGGTAGAGGAGGTCAAGACTTCGAACTGGTTGAATAGAGGAGGTATAGAGGGTTTGCAATTGTTCAATACACTCTTGCAGAGACGCCAATAATCTTTAACCACCTCACATCCCATAATCTGCTCTCAGACAAGCAATATGGTTTCCGCTTTGCCAGATCTACAGCCGATGTGCTCACAGCCATCACTGAAACAGTCTACCAAACTCTCCAAAATAACGGGGAAGCCAGAGCCGTGGCACTAGATATCTCCAAAGCATTTGATAGGGTTTGGCACGCCGGCCTTCTCCGCAAGATCCAGGGTTATGGCATTACGGGTCGATTATATAATGTAATACAATCATTCCTGTCAAACCGTGAATTGAAGGTCGTTCACAACGGATTCTCCTCCAGTTCCTATCCCACGAACGCAGGTGTTCCTCAAGGCTCCATCCTAGGCCCCACTCTATTCCTTATCTACATAAATGACCTTCCTGACACCGTAACTTCTCAAGTCGGCATCTACGCGGATGACACCACAATTTATTCCTGCCTCAAAAACAAATCTAGTCTCGCTGACAAAACTCACCTTGCCGTGCGTCTCGAAAAAGGACCTCCAATCGATTGTGAACTGGGGCATGAATTGGCTGGTCAACTTCAACGCTTCAAGACAAAACTGCTCTCTATTAATCACCACAGAGAGCCTTCCCTTCCCTCCATTAGAATGTCTGACGCTCAACTTCTCGAGAGCAACTCTCTGCGGCTTCTCGGTCTCACGCTGACTGCTGACCTGAGATGGAATAAATACATCGAGTCAATTGCCTCGTCCACTGCGAGGAAAGTTGGCTCCTGAGCCGCGCTAGGAAGTTTTTTCCCTGAGTCGATCCTCCAGATATACAAATCCACAATTCCCTTTTGCATGGAGTATTGCTGCCATATATGGTCTGGCGCCCCTTCTGTTTGCCTCGGGGTTCTTGATAGGCTCCAGAAGGATATGCAATATGGTTGGCCCTGCCCTGGCGTCTCGTCTACAGTCACTTTCTCACAGACGCACCGTCGCCTCCCTCTGTCTGTTCTACAAATACTTTCATGGAAATTGCTCCGAGGAGCTGCATTCGCTGGTTCCCAGACTTCATGAGTTCAAAGCGCCCTCGAGGCTGGCATCCCGCTCTCACCCCTTCACTGTCGAAACTCCTAAATGTAGCCGTCTCTTCTACTCTAATAGCTTCATGTCTCGCACCTCTCGCCTGTGGAACTCTCTTCCCTTCTCCTGTTTCCCTGTGAGTTATAATCTCCAGCTATTCAAGTGTAATGTCAATCGACATCTCCAGTTGCCTTAATCTATCTACTACTCTCATCCTTTCTTCTATCACTCCTATCTGATCTTCCTATTTTCTGTAACCCCTTGCGTCCTAGTGGCTTCCCGCCTTGCTTGGGGTGAAATGCTTAAAAAAAAAAAAAAAAAAAATAAGCTGTATATTTTCTCTTTTTCTGTATAGTAGGGATTCTATCAATAAAACCATTATTTTGTCTAACCACTTTCTTCTAGATGAAATGCATCACAATAACAGTTTTCCATCTTGTCATTTATTTACTCATAAAAATTTTACTCTTCTTTTAATTTAAAAAAATTAATGAATGCTTTATTACTTAAAAATAAATAAGTGCATGACGTGAAGTATGATAGAAGAGGAGGGGGAGGAGAAGAAAAGCAAGGGTATTGGAAATGTATCAGGGGAGGTAAATGAAATGTACATACTTTCTTTTCATCCTAGTTCATATGAACTCAAGAGGAACTTTTTAGTGTGTATGCAATGAGTCATAATTTCTGATCTCTCATTCAAAAGGATTTTTTTGGTTGGGAAATGTTATTATTGTTAACTTTTCTTGTTGGCAAAGGTTATAAGGTTTGGCTTTTTAAAATTTTTCCAGCTTACAATCGGATCCTTATTATTTTTTCTTTTAACACATGGTTGGCTAGTCTGTTAGCATTCCTAAGACTTTCTATGCTGAATGATGATTTGTGATTATACCACCTCTTCTTGAAGCTACGTTCAGTACACCCTATGTATATTTTTTCTGGCCATTTGTATTTATTACTTCTGCTTTGTAAATTACTGATTCAGTTTTGCAAACTCCATCTAATGGACATCTACTTTTATTTCTACAATTTCATATTTTATGTAATTCAAAATTTTTTGGGAAGTGTTTAATAAATAATTTGAAAAATATTTTCCTTATTTTACATTTAAACCAAATATTTTTTCTTTTCCTTGAATTGTTCTTCATTTGTTGTTTTATTTGAGGTTTAAATTCCAGTTTGGTTTTATTCCCCTCTTTTAAAGTCTTTTCATATTCTTTCTTTTTATGTTTGAAAATTATTCTACTAGAGAAATTTCTAGATAACCTGTGCTCTATTCCTTTAGTGATGTGTTTTATTATACTCATAGGGTGGTTGGATCTAACATTCATGTATTTTAATCTTGTGTTGGATTTCATATCTGGGGAGACACTGCCAGTTTGTAGATTTAATTCTACATCCAAATAATTTGACAATTTTCTTATTCATATCAACTTCTATTTCAAAGTCAAGGCTTTTGAAAAGTTTGAAAAGAACTTTTCTTATATTGTCTTTTGTTTTTCTGTTGTCTGGCACTATCATCAGTCCATCATCCCTATACAGACCATGGTTGTTTATATGTACAATTTTGTAGATTTCATATAAAATAGGCCTATCCTGAAAACCTCAGAATCATCAAATGAACCTTGTGGTACAACAAAGTTGTCCTTTTTTGATTTTTTAATCCAAGCTTCTCCATTGTAGAATAAAATTGATTTACTGCAATGTAAAATTATGTCCATTTGTTCAGGTATTATATTTATGAAGCCTTTAGTGAAGTACAAAACCTCAAGCAGACCTTTTTTAGATATAGATAGATAAAAGTTTTTTTTTATGTTGTATTTTATAAATTGTAATGAAAGAGAAACTCACCTACCTCAAAAAAGAATGGTCTGTTTTTATGTATGGTCTGCGGAAGGAAATTTAAAGAAAATAGTTATCAAAAAACCTGCTACTTTAAATATCAGAGAAACTATGCTAATGTTCTTTCCTCCCTGAATGGTGTGGCCAATCAGAAAAATCACTCGATGAATAAAGGCTGTTGCTTTTGCTTACCAAGGGAGAACAGTTTTTGAGCTTGGTGAGCGTACATGCATTTCTGTTGTTGCAAAGGGACGGTTGGAATTCTGACCCTGTTTTTCATTACTACGCTGCCTGCTGGACTGTTTACAACAGATTCATGGTTGAACTTAATGTTGGCACACAGATTTCTTTTGTTTCTACCGACCCCATTGGTTGATACCCACACATAAATACATATTTATCTTTATATTTAATTTTGTGGAACCAAGAAACTCACTCACTTGTGTCCTTCCATTGATTGGCTTGTGTAATGTTGTTTACCCCCACAACTTAAGTTTCACCTTTTGAACAGTGATCATCAGCCCAGGATATATTTTTTTTTATTTCAAATAACACTTTCAAAATGCTATGATTTACAAGTGTTATTTGAAATAAGAAATATATCCTGAGCTGATGATTTCTGTTCACAGTTTGAAAATTAATGAATGCTTTATTACTTTGTCTTTTGTTTTTCTGTTGTCTAGCACTATCATCAGTCCATCATCCCTATACAGACCATGGTTGTTTATATGTACAATTTTGTAGATTTCATATAAAATAGGCCTATTCTGAAAACCTCAGCATCATCAAATGAACCTTGTGGTACATCAAAGTTGTCCTTTTTTGATTTTTTAATCCAAGCTTCTCCATTGTAGAATAAAATTGATTTACAACAACACTCATAGGCCTTATCATTATGAGTCGCACATTTTTTTTCAGTATTTCTTGGCTTATTTTACCCAATTCAGTTTTGGTTTGGTTTATTAGTCGAAAAGAAGGATTATTGGGAATTCATCTTTATGGTTCTTTATAGTTAGAAATGCTCGCTTACAGCATAATATATGAACCCTATATCTAGTTTGACTGTGATATTTTTCACCTCCTCATTTATACTTTCAATGTAGAAGTTTGTTGCTTTTCTGTGAGTTTTAGTGACTTCTTTATTTCTTCCGGTAAGTCTCTGGGTGCATAGTATAAATGGTCTTCATTTTATATATATATATATATATATATATATATAAAATAGACAATCAGAAAATAGTACTTAGTCCTTGTCAACACATTTCATACTATTTTCCGATTATCTATTTTATTCAATTTGTCTTCTCTACAGATAGATTCTGAGAACTTTCACACACATACATGAACACACACACACATATATATATATATATATATATATATATATATATATATATATTATCAATGTAAATATCACTTTAATCTGATGAAGTCCTAAAGGACGAAATGAGTCAAAAGAGAACTTTTTCCACCTTATAGTTTTTCCATAAAATTGTTCTTGATATATAAAAATTTATATAACAATTTTATGGAAAAACTATAAGGTGGAAAAAGTTCTCTTTTGACTCATTTCGTCCTTTAGGACTTCATCAGATTAAAGTGATATTTACATTGATGTAACTACCCATGCTCATGAAGTAAAGTGAATGCTGAGAATTTTAACTTTTAACAACACACTAAATGCATTAGTTGATTACCATAATGAGACTGGCCATAATTTTGATTTAAAAAATGCTACTCTAATTAAAAGGAATAAGACAAAAATGTTTTAATTGCTGAGATCATCCACAGTAAATTCTATTTCTTAGAACATTACACCCTTGTTCTTTTATCAGAATGTGAGATATTTAATAACAAAAGTAATGGAAATGTAAACAAAAAAGAAAATAAATGAAATCAGCTAGACTATATACCAAAAACATATATTTAAAGAAAAATATTGATTTAAATTTAAAATTCTCAGTGTCTCCTTTCTTTCATGCACATGTGTAGTCATACCAAAGTAAGCATCACTTTAATCCAATGAAGTTATAAAAGACAAAACGTATCACTCAAAACTTAATTTTCAAACTGTGAATAGAAATCATCAGCTCAGGATATATTTCTTATTTCAAATAACACTTGTAAATCATGGCATTTTGAAAGTGTTATTTGAAATAAAAAAAATATATCCTGGGCTGATGATCACTGTTCAAAAGGTGAAACTTAAGTTGTGGGGGTAATTTTTTTATTTTTATTTTATATATATATATATATATATATATATATATATATATATATATATATACACCAAAAAATTGATGTTAAAATAAATTTGAATAAAAAATTGTGTGTCTCTTTTAGATATGCAAATTTTTATTTTTTTTTTTTTTCACCTTATTGGTTGATGTTTTACATTTAAAATTATAAAAGTATTTCTAATGTTATATAATAAAACAAGTGAAGCAAGTATTTTTTTTTATCTCAAATGATATAAACTCTTCATTCTGAAGTAAAGCAACTTTATTTTTTGTTAATCTAACATCTCTGTATTCAGTACTTAAAGCATTTGATTCGGAATGTTGTTTATGAACATTACTAAAAGTTGTTAGTTGAAATGTGATAAAAGTCTTAAAAACAAGATTTTTAAAATTCAAAAATTCATGTTATCATATCAGTACATCCTTATAATAAAAATTTATTTGAGTGATATTTTATGAACCTAAGTATTTTTATAAACAGGTGACGTAAATGTTATTTCTGTAGAAACAAGAAATGTATCGTTATTTAGAAATTATTATTTCTCATAGTCATCCTTTAATTACTTTTATTTTTTTCTTAACTAGTGTCGAGAACTTTACTTCTGTGTGAAAGAGACAATGGATAAGGCAGCAGCACGAAACAATGGCAAAGTACCAGGTATGGTTATAAAACCTATTCAGTTATTTTTATTCATTTCAGATCATTTTGCAAATATAGTATTGATTCAAATTTCTAAAGAATATTAGTGTTGTTGAAATATCATACAGTCTACACTTCAACTCCTAATGAGAGATGAGAATTGTTACAAAACTTTTTTTGCAGTCCTGGTTGTACTATATATAAATTAAAAAGATTTTAAAAAGATATAGATTAAAAAGCTGTGGCATTTTTTTTTTGTTGTTGTTTTGTTTAGTACATTTATGCTTAACATCAGGCAGAGACAGTTGAAATTTCTGGGGTACATAATGAGGAAAGAGGGCTTGAAAAAAAAAATTATACTCACGGAACAGACTGAAGATAAGAGGGCTAGAGAAAAGCAACACACAACCTTTCTGGTGAGCTTTAGTGAATGGATGGTGGAGTAGTATTTGGGAGAGAATACAAAAAGACAAAAGTTATTAAGACCTACAAAGGACAGGAAATTATGGAGAGCCATTATCAAAATTAAACTTTATACATGAGCTTCTTATGATTACCTGCATTTTCACCGAAAATATTTGTGCTTAGATTTATTTTTGCCTTTCAGGTCCTGATTTAGGAGGTGAATTCCCTGTACAAGATCTCAGATCTGGCCAAGGAGGACTACTCCAAGTGTGTATGGAAGGTATAGGACTTCTCCTGGCCAATAGCAAGGTAAAACTTCCCCAGATATATGTCTTCCTCCTTTGATTGTATTTTTTAACATATATTCCTTTCTTGATATATTTCAGCTTTTTGTATTTATTTTAAAATATTTTTCTTATTCCAACACATGGCTGCATGCATTTGAAACAGTTTTCTGCTTTAAGACAGTTTCAATTTTTGCTTCCATTCATATTTGTGTACAGTTCAAAATTATAATAGTAAACGTGTAGACAATCAAAAACAGATAAAATATTCATTATCTACTTACAGTGTACATTTCTTGTTCCAATTAGTTTGCTTTAAAATATATATTTATAAAACTTGAACTGTACACAAGTATAAACTCTATAATTTTTTATATTAAGCTTGCTGTTTTTATTTAAATTTTCATTCAGAAATTATATTAATTATAATGTTTTAATAGTATCAATATTTTTGAAAAACTCAAGAAATGACCATTGGCTACAATCTTGGAGCCATGAAATCCTTGTCTCAGCTTTATCTCTTAAAAGTAAATTTAAAATTCCCTAAAATTCTTATAGCATTTTTCTTAAAGACAGTAATATCTCATATACCTCACACTAAGAGTTTAATATAGACTGGAATTACCAATGAAAATTTCACAGTTTTCCTATTTTAATTTTCTCTTGAATCTTAATTCTTAAGTTAATGAGTGAATAAGCTCATGGTGAGTTCTTTGACAATAAAATATCTGTAGAAATTCCCCTATGACATCATTAAATATTTGAGCTTAACAACTTTAACAAAATATTGCAATAATGATCATAAATATGAATTCTGATTGTTATTTTAGGTAAAAGGGTACAAATGAAAAGATTTGAAATTCACAACTTCTTTCATTTCACTGAAACAGACATTAAACACTTCTAGCTTCCCTTCTTTCATTCATTTTCTCACTGAAAACAAATAGTATTTTTTCCCTCTTTCTACATGATCTGTAGTAATGGTCCATTAATTATGAGGTATTGGCATGAAATGTTTGTGTTAACTAAGGGAAGGACAAGCAGAATTATAATAAGATATTTCTTAAACTTACTTTAGTTTACCACTAAATTACAATTGTGGTATATCTGGAGAAGCTCAAACTAAACTAGGAATTATAAGCAACATTGTTTTGTTCATTATTGTTCAATAGGCACATTATAATAATGATTTGTGAAACTTTATGCAATAACAGTACAGCTTGAGAACTGATGATTAGAACTGAGTATATCTGTTTTTGTTGAAAAGGGTTAAGTCTGCCACACAATTTGTGGCTCTTGTGTTCTGTTAGTTTATATTTCTATTCTATTAGAAAGTTCTTAAATACTTATAAGCCATCCACCTGCTCTCTATTGATTTGTAGTTGTAAATAAGAGAATTAGTAATACTTTATGCAGAGCTGCAAGGTAGGGTACTGGTTAGAAGTAATCAAAGTTGAACTGGTAAATTGAGTTCTAGCTGAGACATGCTAATTTTGTGCTAATGCCCTTGGAAAAGGAATGAATCTACTTTTCCCTATGCTTCATCCCAGATATCTTGACAGAATATCTTGTCATTAGCATACCAATATGTTTGATGGAGAAAAGAGTGAAAGCAGACTACTGTCCAATGATTATCTTAACTGTAATAGCATTAGCAATTGAAAGTTTTCACCCATTGTCAACCTTGATTTTATACTAGTCAGTATTTTATATACTAATTAAACATTAAATAAAGAAATATTGATCATATCTTGAAAATATAGTGATCCACTGTTATTAATCGTCCTAGATATTTTAATGCTTGCTCAAAATAAAGTTAAATTCCCTACAAAACATAACATTTAAGTTTGCATTCATGTAACATAAGGAAATCTTCACCACTTTTCTCAATGAATGTGAACTTGAGATAAGCTGATATGGTTGCTTTATCTCCTGAATATTGTTAAAGATAGCATACTGATTGAGGCTTCCTCTTAAAACTTGTATATTCTATAAAATTGAAAGTGTAAATGATAAAAGGCATCGATATTCAAAGAACTTAAAATATTTACTTAGTCACTTATTTTAGTACATCATTTTACTTTTTGTATTATTTAAACAAATTAGCAATCTGTCACTTATATTATTGACAACTAAGAGTGTTTTGACATTTATATAACTAGCAAAGTAAGTGTTCTAAGTAACATGGTTAATTGAAATAAGTGCTGCATAATTTGTTGCTATGATAAAATAAGTTTTATTAATCTTATGTAATATAAGAATATCTCTTGAAATAGACAAAGATAAGAAACTGATCAAATAATTTTTTGTCTTATGGTGATATCCTGTTGAAACATTTGTTCTCATACAATCAACAAAGTTGAGCAACATCAAGCCTGGTCAGTATCTAGATGGGTGTCTGCTTGAGAATACCAGGTGCTGTAAGCTTGGATATGTGGGTGGTATAATGAATAATGGCTCAGAATTTTTAATTGGAGAGCTGAGTTCAAATTCCAGTTGGGTTTGTTATATTCATTTACATGCAAATACCCTTGGGAAAGTTATGAATCCACCTATTCTTCTTCCATCTATGGTTTAATTTGAACCATTATTATCTTTTAAAAAAATTCTTACACTCTAAAAATATTTTCTGGCTTTAAAATAACTGGTAAAAGGTTGATAATCTTTCAATATTAAATTTATCAGAATATATGCAACTTAAATCATTCTAGGTTTTTCTTCTCTTTGACTAATAATAAATGTAATAACTAATCCAAAAGAATTTCATATTGTAACATTTAAAATTTTATTAAATATAGGTGGTGTAATATTTAAAATTCAATATTCAATATTTCTAGATAGAAAGATTTCCATTACTCAAATCTTTTATATTATTTAGCAATTTAGCATCATGCTTTCTGTAATTTAAGAACTGTTATGGTTATTTGCTATCCTAATAGTTCCTTTACTTCCTATCAAAAAGATTTTCCCACATTTATCTGTTTATGACCATATCACATTGACACAGCAATTCTCCAACATTCATCAAAGTTAAACAATGTCAAGACTGGTCAGTGTCTAGATGAGTGAACACTTGAGAATACCAGTTGCTATAAGCTTGGATATATGGGTGTTATAATGGATAATGGCTCAGAATTAGAAATCAACTGTGTTCCAATTCCAGTTGTGTTCATTATATTCACTTGCATGGTGAAACTGTTAAGAAAATTATGAATCCACCTCTTCTTCCCACAGCTATGTGTTAATTAACTGGACTTGTATCAATAAATCATTATCTCCAAAAAATTCTTACAATCTAAAACTATTTTCTGGCTTTAAATAATCTGCAAAAGATTGATAAGCCATAAAAAACAATCAATCAATCCACATTTACCATTTCTATAGAAGAGTTATTGAAAACATTATTTTTAAATTAACCCATTGTATCCAACAGACCATAGGGAAGTTGTGTTCTTTGAATGTTACTTTACCAAAACTACCTCATTAAATGAGATAGGGAGTTAAATTGGTAATTTTTTTTTCCTTCAATCATTGTCCCTGTGACTGTAAGTAAGCTTTTCTGCCTTGAGTTAACTTAATAGCAGTTTATTTACTGTATTAATTTGGTCATTACAGATAAATTTAAATGAACAATAGCAAGCATTTCACTACCAGAGAAATTTTATTAATGATGCTCACTTTATAATCTTTTTTATTGAAATTTTGCATTGTTAAAAAAAGGTCTCGTTTACTTCATCTTAGATATGAAATCATTAGGAAGTCTTAAAGACATTCATCAAATTTGACAATCTTTTTTTTGGTTTATTATTACTGATTCTAAAATTCTTCAGAGCTTTTTAAGGGAAAATTCATAAGTCGAAATAGAATTACTGTAAACTTACCATTATTACATTTAGTAACAAGCTCAGATTTTATGAAGTTTTAACACCATAAAATTACATCAACAAAGAAGGGATATTGCTACATGACAAAGAACTAAATTATTGATTATTTATTTTTCAATGTTTGGCTATCAATAGGTTTTACTCTTAAAGTTGTTAATGCCTGTATTGTTTAACAGAATATTATTTCATCTGAATAGTTTAATAGAATATTAATATAGTTTTTAATGCATAGTTAAATAACATCTGTTTAGTTTGTCTTATAATAATTTCTGCAAATCATTTTCCCTATTAAATAATTTTAAAATAAACATTGTGACAAAAAAAGATTAAGACTTATTAATCCCATCTGAGTGCTGATCTTAATGTGAAAATATTGGAAATGATAATCAATATCTACAAAATGTGATAATTTTGTTTCAACCAGTAAAAACAAATTTAAATATAAAATCATTGGAAACAAAAATGTGTATCACAATATAATTTTAAATATATAATACTTGTGTTTACAAAATGTAAAACAATGAGTTATTTATGTCAAAAGAAAGCATTTACAATATGTCTTTAAATGCATTACCAAAGTTTATGTATTTTATTTTGTGTGCAACAAGATTTAAACAATTATAAAACAGCATAAAAGTTTAGTCAGAAAAGCAATTATATTACTAAATGCGTACTGAGAGAAAACAGTATAATTTATTTAACTAATCAGTAAAAGAAAGGATAGATAATAGAAAGAATGATATGACTTTTATGAGAGCACTTGAAGTCAGGATAGCTATAGAACAATACATTCAATTAAAGTGGATATGTAGCAACATGAAACCTGTGTAGTTTATTTCTATTAACCTTTGGTTCCTGGACTCAAATTTGTTAACTTCAGAGTTACATTCTTTGACTACTGACAGACATTTTGGTATAAATGGCCTTAAAGTACAAAAAGTTGCAATTGTAAATTATAAAGAATCATTGCTCATGAATGATTATTTTCCATAAAAGAAAAATATTCTTTAACTTCATTAATGTGAAAAATTAATGCTTTAATAGTTAAAAATACATTTTTATTAATTCTGTTTAATTAAGTTGGAAAGAAAATCCTATTAATTTTTTACTCAAAAAGTATAATGTATTTATATCTCATAATCAATTACAAATTCAAGCAAAATAAGTTTCCTTCAATTCTGGTGTCATAATCCCAAAAGGAAGATTAATACATTGGGCATAAAATTCTTTAGATTTTGAAATATAAAAAAATACAGGGTCTGATCAAAAAGTATCAGGGCTGGTGCTATAAAAAAAAAACCCTGCAATACATATCAATTCAGCATTTAATCTCCTTTGAAGTAGTCCCCTTCTGAAGCTACACACTTTATCCAATGTCATTTCCATTAATGAAAGCATTACTGGAACTCATTTTTTGAGGATAGTGAGTAACTGCTTTGACACATTCTCTTGGAGAAGTTGACATGCCATAAAACCCAACAAACAAACATCCTCTTGGATTTCCTCAATATTTTGAAATCTTGATCCTTTCAAGTGGGATTTGATTTTTGGAAAGAGGAAAAGTCACAAGGGGAGAATATGGTGGTTGTCAGACCTGGATGTTGTGCTTGGCAAAAAATTGCTGTACAAGCCATGGTCACTGCTGGGACCACTATGGTGTAATGAGATGACCACACTCTACACACTTTCCTTCCAAACACTGCTACAAACAGTAGAATTGAGCAAGAACATTATAACTTTGTGTGCATACATGACAGTGTTCAAGATTGATCTGTGCCAAGCAGCTTCACTCTACATATTTTGGCTCCATTACCATAGCAACAGTCCCAATACATTTTGATCAGACCTTGTATATTTTTAACCTCTTTATAATTTGTATACTTTTTCCTGTACAGGAATTACCATAAAGATCTAAAAAGTCATAATCTGATGGAGCAATTTTGAGAGATTACAATGAAATGTTTCTTCTGTGAATTTTGCAACATGTTCTTGCATTGACATGCAAGAGTAATGCATCTTGCCCGCTGATCACTGAAATTCACTTTTCCAAGAAAAAGTTTGTTGTATGTGCTTCCAGTTGACAACAATTTGAATTGGTTGTTTCATTACAATTCAACCCTTCATGATAGATAATACCTTTCATATCCTACTAAACACTGAGCACTATTTCTCAAGATGTAATCCTGATTTTGGTACAGTCATAGATTTTCCCTAAGTCATAAGTTTCTTTCAGTGAATCTGATTATAAAAACTCACGAGTCACTAGTGACAATATTTTCTAGAAATGGTTTGCTAGCATGCCCTGTCTTTAAGGATGAACAGATGTTAAAACTCTCAGATTAAATTAAGAACTAATTAAATTATGTGGAACTTATTGGACAATTAATGTTATTTTTTCTTTTCTTTTTTTAATCATTTCACTCCAAGCAAGGCAATAAATTCAACTAAGATACAAGGAGTTACTTGGAGTAAAAGAAAATAAGATGACTTTAGTGAGGAGAAAGGACAATAAATAACAGGATTCATGAAGATGGAAAATGGCATTGCATTTAAATTTTTGAAGATTGTAGGTGGCTGGGAAGCAGCAAACTAGAATAGAGTTCCACAGGCAAGAAGTGCAAGGAAAAGAAACTATTAGAATAAAACATATGGTTATATCTAGCTAGTTCAACATTAAAACAGTGAGACCTTGTTTCCAATCTAGTAATATGCTCAAATTCATGCATTTGAGAGATCAAGGAGGAAAGCTGATTAGAACAATTGTAACGAAAATATTTATAGAAAAGAGAGAGTGGATCTATATCATGGCAGTGGGAAAAGTGACTGAAGTTGAGATGCCAGGTCAGGATTAATTACATTACAGACCCTTTTTTTGGATTTTATCAAGAATCTCAAGATATATAGTAGAACCACCAGACCAGATATGGCAGCAATATTCAATGTACAGACAAATGGTAAATTTATAAATGTGTAAAATGGATTCTGATGAGAAAAATTATCTGAGACAACACAGTGAACCAACTTTCCTAGTGCTAGACCTAACAATTTACTAAGTTCACGGAGATGAGTTATATTTGTTGTATGCATTGTCTTGAACTGTTATGCCATTTCTTACACTGTCAGTTTAGGATTTTCTTCAATTGTAGTGAGGGGAGTTTAATTGTTGATTGAAGCAGTCATCCAAAATAAAGGGGAAATTTGAGAATAAAATTCCCTGACTGAAAATGAGTGAATCATCACTAACATTTTCTAATACTTAAGACTTTATTTCTATACTAATAAATTTCAATAGTAATATTTCTCAACACTTCGGAGACTGATAAACCTATTTTTGAATTCATAAAGCAAATAAAATTTCAAATGGGTCTCATCTACATTCATTTTGATGGGTTAGATCAATTCAAAAAATTTCCACTTTAACATTAAATATTCCTGAAAGGAAAATGGAAAGATCAGAATACAAAGTTATATTTATTATTATGCTTGATATAATCAAACAATAACTTTAAACTTATCATAGCAAAACAAGTAGCAGGACTTTCTTTCCAACCTATTTAGTTTGACTCATTAAAACATTCCAGTCAAGATCAGATATTGATGCTATAAACAAAACCCAAATGCATGACTTTTGTTTCAAAAATACGTTTTTTAACAGATTCATAATTAAGATTTCTCTTTTTATATAACTTTATAAAAATGATTGTAACAGAAAAATGAGGTTAAGTACTTATGCAATAATCAGTTTGTTGCCTAGCATCAACAGTTACTTTCTTTTTATTGTTTTGATTAATTCAATGAAAATGCAAAATTGCTTTAAAGAATTGGAATGCAACATCTGAGGAGAGAAGAAAAAGGTTGGTGTAAGTGGGGAACCCTTTAGATGAAAGTGAATTTGCTTCTAAATTTTTTGCTTTTTCTCCCTGCCAACATATTCTCTACCATAAATGTTGTCAAATGGTTGCTTTCCTGGATTTTATGCTCTGTTTATTCTTATTCTTCTTACTATTATTATGAACCCATTTTTTTTTATGTTTTTGAATGTTGCAGCTCCTCTTGTTGTCGCAAATAAGCTGGTTAACATGTCATCTTTTTTTTCTCTCTCTCTCTCTCTTTTCCCTCAACCCTGCTGTGCCACCTACGCTACATCGGCTGCTGGGGGCAGGATTTTGAGGTAACGGCTTTTAGTGTCTGTAGTCAGTATATGAGTCCCAAACAACTGCAACTACTTGTCTTTTCACAAATAGTTTGTTTCAGTTTACCTCTCTGTTTATCTGTCATTTCTTTTCACTTTTTTATTTTATTCACAAACCACTGTTTTGTTTATACACGTATTTCTTTTTTTTTTTCTTTGTTTATTTTTCAAAATTATTTTAGTATATTTTAGTGAGGTGCGCTTGTGTGTGTGGATGTTATAGTTTTTACCTTTTTAGTCATTTTAAGTTTTTGTGCAATAAGTTTTTTTCAGTAAATCTACATGCCTCCTTTCTATTGCTTGTAAATAAGTTGCCTTAGTTGAGCTGATGTTGTGACTGCAAAATTCCCTTTACCACTTGTGTATTGCAAACTGACTGGAAAAAAAAACAGCAACATTTTTTTTTACATCTTTGTTTTTAAGTTAAAAATAAAATAGAAAACAACCTTTTTTGGGACGGTGGGGTTAAACCTTGGAAATAGAAATTATTTTGTGGGTTTGATCGTTTGAATGCTGTGCATCTATATCTACTGAGAATGTATTGACAGACATGAACCATAAACTGACCAACTATAAAAAGCAAAATCCATTTTAGCCAGTAATAATTCTACCCTCCAAAACATATCTTTTACCATTTTAGCTTTTTGACAAGGCATTTATATCTTTTAACAACTCATTTAATGTTTGTACTTGACTTTTGATGAGTTGTCTTTGTCAGTTATTTGGTTCAAGTCCCACTACTGGCTATTATACTGTTTGTGTCTGTATACATAATCAGTGTATATACATATGTACATCATTGAAGCAATCAACAAAAAATAATAATTCTGTTTCCATTCTTTTATTTTTTCATCTTTTTTTCTTAAAAAACATTTCTTTATTTTTCATACATGAAAAAAAGTTTTTAAGAAAAGCATTTATGGGCACAAAAATTAAAAAGGAATAAAACAAATATTTACCTAGTGCAAAAGAAAAGTTCAAAGATTAATATCATTCAGATGCATATATATATATATATATATATATATTACTTCAGATGTTATTATAATGGATGGATTTTTTTAAATTAGATTTCTCGAATGCATGGATAGGCAATAGATGTATTATACACTGTTTGATAAATAAATAAAAATGGGGCATCTATTTCAAATAAATAGTGTCCACAATAATGTTTGAAGTAATAAAAATACTAGATTAAAAATAAATCCATTAATTCTTATATATAAGACAAAACTTATCTTAGCTGATGCATTTCATTCTCTGATGGACTTTATTAAAGCAAATATGAAGATTATATTTTGCAACAAATACTTATGAACATAAGTAAAAATGGTGTTAGTTTTTCAAAATTTATTTTTGCTTTTGTTTATAAATACTTGTTGCAAAAATAAAATCCTCACATTCACTTTGATAAATATTGTCCTGTTACAGATATAGTGTAGTTATATCTGAAACTTTATATATATATATATATATATATATATATATATATATATATATATATATGTTATTTTTTTTTTCTTTCATTTGCATTCTACAAAGCCTAGTATTTGCTTTGTCTTTTTTCAAAAGCTGGTCATAGGGCCATGTTTTAGTTTTTCTCCTCACTTCAATTATTTTGTTCTGTCAAACACTTGCCCCTTCTTTGTCCACAAGTGGTACACTTCTGTGAATTAACAGCTTTAAGTTGCTTCGTTTTTATTTTCAGTTCTTTATTGAGATAAGTCGTGTCAAGAAATGTTTCACGCAGAAAGGAGGCATTTTTGTGATTGAGGAGTTTGGTAAGATTTACTGACTAACTCATTTTTTTTCCTGTTTTATTGCTTCTAGCTTCTGCTTTGGATGCGAATATTCCATTATGCACCAAAAAGATATCAAATTGCATGCTACTACCAGACATTTTGCCAGCGCATGCAAAACACCTTTCTCTCTTTTTATTAACATATTTTTTATATATCCATTTATACATATATATACATACCATTCGCATAAACCCATGATTATATTTGATATTATATATATGTATAATTTTATTTATATATTTATCTCAATATCTACAGAAACTTTACATCTGTACATATATATCCATACTCTTTCTATAAATGTAATATTTTCATTCATTTATTTAATAATCTGGACAGAATCTTGTCAGCAATTTAAAACTAACAGTAAAATCCACTTCCATGTATACATCTGTAAGTCCTAATTATGGATTTAACTATGAAATGTTGAGAATTCTCTACTGTTTCTTTTATTAGGTTAATGAAGTTGGCAATTATCCCCATTACTCACATTTTTCAATTGTCTTTTTTGTACCATAATATTAGGTTCATCTAGCAACAAAGTTAAAAAAAAAAGCAATCAATGTTTTCTAATTTATCTAGTCATAATGTATGCAATAATTATCATTGCCATGAGGTGACTAAAATAAACTCACCAATTAAAATGATATTGCTGAAAATCCAACACAAATGAGGATATTAGTTTTAACTAACCCCTCAGCCATTAAAAGATTTCAGTTGTTAAATCCCTGGAGTCCTGACCAAATTGCTTAAAAAATTAAATATGTGAAGTTAGTGCAGTTAAATTGATTAAAAAAATGCTGAAAATCAAGTGTTACAAGTTGATTTTATATGAGAGTAAATTGATTTCTCTTTCAAATGATACCAAATTTAGGCTCCTTGGTATTATTGGTTATGAAATTGAATTTTAGAAATCTATAACTTTATAAAATTTATAGATTTCCATCATCTCTAGTTGATCATGTGATGTATGTTAATGTGTATTAAAATACAGTATTACCTGAATATGGGTACCTTCAAACATATAAAACTTACAAGTACATTTGGACACTTCTGGCCTTAAGAAGTTAATAGATTTTTCAAAAGTTGCTCAACCAAACAATCTATGTGAAGAGAATCACAAAAATGTATAGGTGCAATCACAGGATATATAAGAAGGGAGAGTGGATGCCACCTTAGAGCAAAATTCAACATTCCAGACATCAGGCTTGGGAGGAAGGCCAGTAGGTATGTGGCTAAAATTTTGTGATAAAACTGCAAAACTTGGAAAATTAGTAAAAAAAAAAAAAAATAGTATTAGTAAAATTATTTAGTCCCAAAATTATCCAGACAAGAAAGATTTTACTATCCAACAAAACATTGTATAATCTGAATCTGACTCAATTTAGAGACATAAACCTTTTAACTCTTTGGAACAATTTAAAAATAAACACTAGAAAAATATAGAACTTACTTCCCACAAGTTACAAAAGTCTTTTAAAGATCAATCATCTTAGCTTCAAGTCTGTTGAAATTGGCTTTTTTAAAGATAGTCTTTCTCATTTCAAAATGTATGCTCTTGGCAATTGAAATAAAATTGATTATAGATTTAATATTAATCAATCCACAGTCTATGATAGATAACTTTGATAAGATGAATGATGTATTGGAATAACCAGTCACCCCCATGAATGATTGCACTATAGGTAGTAAGTACCTATAAAGTCAACTGTCTATGAGAGACTAAGAAGAGTGTGAGTAAGAAGACGCAAGCACGTCCAACCTTCCAATTAGTGTCACTCACTACTAGATTGACCTGTGTGTATAACTGTACCATATTTCATATTGTACTGGTTGTGTACAATAAACCTTTCTTCTTTTATCTACCTGGTGTTAAGTGTTTATTCCCTTAGCACGGAATATAACAATGAAGAACAAATATGAAACATTTATCAATTTCACTTTTATTAATTGCTTCATCAGATAACTCTTAAAAAATAAACTCAGTATTTTTTTTTTAAATTCAAAAAGTGTATGCAATATATGATGACTTTTAATAGTGTCATCACTGTACTCAAATATAGATTTGCATAGTTATACAGAAATAATTAACATTTTCTACTTATTAATTAATAATTAGTGAATTGGAAAAGATTATATTGTTGGACATAAAAACAAAATGTTAAGTTTCTGATATTTTTTAATTAAAAAGAAATTAATTTAAATCAATATCTTATAAGATTTCAGTTTAGAAATCTAACTTGTTCAAATGGTAACATTAACTGTGGATATCCAGCCTATCATTTTTAAACACTTAGAAATACTTTGATATTTTAATAAGAAAAATATTTGAATGAAAGTCATATTAAGCCTTATCTTAACATTCTTGTTTGACTTTTTGTAATATAGAACACTATAGAAAATTATTAGATTTTGTTATTGCAATGAATTATTAAATTTAGGATTTATTACTTGCTTGGGGAAGGATAATCTTTTACTTATTTTATTAGACTCTTGACAAATCCAAAGCTGACCTGAGCTGAAATTAGAATTCAAAATTACTCAAGTGTGAATTTTTCTTTTCTTTTTTCATATTTACTAAAACTAATATTTTACTTTTGTAATTATTTTCAGAATCCTAATTCTATTTTTTCTTTTACTAACATCTCTTAACAAAATAACCTTTTTAAAAAAAATAACTCCTGTCGATTAATGTTATCGACTATGAATGCACTTTCTTTTTTCTTTTTTTGTGTCTCCTATATTTATCAGTTTGGTTTTGGATGAAACAGCACATCTCTTGTTCGGTGAGGGGTTACTTTAATCCTTGTGGTGATTGGTATTCCATCCTTCAAAACTTAATCATGAGTGGTTTGTGTTTTTTTCAGATTACTTCCCACCCTAACAGTTTTTGCTGCATTCTTCCTTGTTATTTATAAAAAGAAATAATTCCTTCTTCTCAATAACAGTAAAAAAAAAAGAAAACTGATCTTGTTTATTATAATTTCTTATTTTTCTTTATGATCAATGAAAACAGAATTAGATTTGCTTATCATTCTGATGCAGAAGGATTTTTTTAATATTTTATTTGGAATTTTCAGGAAGTACATCTCCATTTTTCCCTAGTGATTTTAAAATTAAAAGTTTATTAGAAAAAATTTCCCCAAATTAATGTATCAGAAATTGTGTGTTGCATTTAAAATCCAATCACAACCCATTTTTGTCATTGAAACTTTATTTTTAATTCTTTTTATATATCGGTAAAATGATGCATAATTTTTTATATACCAGAACAATGTTAGAAAATTTAAGTGTAAAATGTTGTTCGCGTGATGCATTTTGTCCTTTATAAACAGTCTAAACATCACTTTAGTCCAGTGAAGTAATAAAGGATGAAATGCATCACACAAATAATTTTTTTTACACTTTGTCATTAATTTTCCTAATATATATATATATATATATATATATATATATATATATATATATATAGTGTTAAAGTATGCTATATTTATGGGATAAAGTGCTCAATATCAGAGATAGAGCATATGTAAATATAAAACTGAACATTGAAGTCAACACTCAGAGGTGACAGGCTGTTTCATACTAGACGCAATTGTCAGGCGGCCTGACAATTGTGTCTAGCATGAAACAGATTGTTGCCTCTCAGTGTTGAGTTCAATGTTCACTTATATATATATATATATATGAGGAGGTGCTGTAAAGTTGACAACCAGACCCACTTCCCAATATCAGTATTTTGATCAAAAGTTTGGTCATTGAAATATTGATTTTGGAAAGTGGGTCAGGTCAACAACTTTTTAGCACCCCACTGTGTGTGTATGTGGGGAAAAATCAATAAGTTTACAGCTAAACATATAGCTATTAGCTGGATTTTGATCTGAAAATTTCACTGTATAATATTAATTTTATATGACATATAGTCACAAATGAATTAAATACATTGACAATGAAGGAGATTATGTTGAAAAATATTTGTTGTATAAAATGCATGGCTAATTGCATCATCAGGCTAAGGAAATTGATCTACATACACACATATCTATCTATCTATCTATCTATCTATCTATCTATCTATATATATATATATATATATATATATATATATATATATTTCTAATGAGTCTGTGGATTTTCAATTTTAATTTGACATATTTTAATTACTTATCAAAAATAGTAGTGAAGTAATATATATATATATATATATATATATATATATATATATTATATATATATATATATATATATTCTCCTGATGATGGCCATGCTGGCTGAAGCTAGTCGAGGAACCTAACTGAAATATATATATATATATATATAGCACATATAGTGTTAATAAAACAATGCTCCATGTAATACAACAGAGCTATTAAGTGTATATTAATAAACATACATATTAACCCTCACTGATAGCATGACTCAGAGTTTCATGCACAATGCAATCTTCAAGTGCTGATTATAGACTGGCCATTATATAATTTACATTTTAAAAAATATATATCTGGCTATCACAATGTTGGTGCAGTTATATATTATACTGCGATTACAGTTTTTGTATATATATATATATATGTGTGTGTGTGTGTGTGTTTGAAAAAAGAAAAGAAGAAAATTAAATTTTTTTTTATTTTAAATCTTATAACATGAAATGAAATAGATGTAACTTATGTCTTCTCGAAAAATTGGTTGTCTTAAAACACCTAAATAACCCTAGCTCATTAAACAAGAGAAATGAATTGAAGGTTACATGTAGGCATAAAAATAAATATCTGCTTAAATATGTTGATCCAGATTCATTTTTAATATAAATCACAGTTTATTTTTAAGGAAAGTCACTGTTGTTTTTTTTTTTTTATAAAAATAGAACAAGTAATCTCCATTTAAGTAATATTCACAACTCTAAAATAAAAAATTTTAAAATACTTTTTTTCACCCATATATGTACAAATTGCATTTATTTTAAATGCCAAATATAATTT